AAAAAATAAAATAAAAAAAAATAAAGTAAAAATGATAATAAGAAGATGAAAAGAAGAAGAAAAGATTGAACCTAATAAAATTCAGTAACAACAAGAAGAACATCAAAGTGAACCCAAAAAAAAAAAGAAAAAAACCCTTATCTATGTTAATAATTTATTAATTCAACTAAATAAACAACACGCTTAGCTCGAACGACGATCGATAAAACCGTGAGGGCTCGGTTTTGGTCGAACATAGATATTCGGTACCGAAACCGCGCAAGTCCTTTTGCAAGAAGTGTAGTTCATGAAAGCAAACCTATCACTTAAGCTCCTTGTAATATTCTTGGAGTTACCTTTCCACATTGTGCCATAGTATTTTGTACCATGATGTTCATCATCATCATCATCCTTAGAACATTCAACCAATGCTGCAAAAAATGGGTCCCTTTGTTGGAACCTATTGCTTTTCTTGGGGAAGATCTCTTCCTGGTGGATCGACTTCTTGTCGCCGGAGTTGGAGCTTCCGGCAGGCGGCGGCGGAAGGAGATGCTCGGAATATTCCTTCTTCTTGGAACTCGATTGGTTGTTCTTTGGGATCCCGGGATTTTTTTCCCAAGAAAACGGGATGCCTTTGAACTTGAGAGGTGTCGATGGACTAAACGTAGGGTAATCATCGAGGTACAAAAACGATGATGATGACGACGACGAGGACCCGTAAGACAAATCCCAAGAATCGGAGCACATTGATGTAAACGATAGTGTTCGGTAGCGGTGGGAAATTCGTGTCGAATTCGAGATTTCGAACTCATGATTTTCAAGAATTTGGACATTATTATTAGAAGCCATGTTTTGTTGAATCTTGATGATGATGGAGAGGAATTGAGTGTGTTCTTATAGATGAATTATTGTTTGCTTTGTCTAGTTTATTAGGTTTAAAAGCATGTATATAGAGGTGCATATATAGGGGTTGAAAGTGATACTATTATGTAATAAATCACACAACAAAGGGCCCCCCAAAGAAATTATTGAGGTTGAGGAAATTAACAAAAAAAAAGGGACTAAATGGGAAATAAATAGTAAGGAGTGGGTGTGATGTAGATATTTTCATTAATGCTTGTGTTATGAAGAGTTTAATTTAGAGGAGTTGTGATGCATTTCAAGGAGGTTATTAGGGAATAGGGAGTGAATAGTCAATTACACCATTTAATTAAGGCTATTTTGGGTTAAGTTCATTTTTTTCTTTTTTTGAATGCTAAGCATCATTGACTAGCCACCTTCCTGCACATTTAAATAATAAGAATAATAATAATAATAATAATAATAATAATAATAATAATAATAATAATAATAATAATGTTGATTCAACCGTGAAAGTTACACTATCATATATAATCTTGTCACAAGGAAATTGAAATCAGTTAAAGTTGTGAATAAATTAGTTGATACACATGATATTTGTGAATAAGTTGTTGATATTCGTTTTTAGCAAAACTACATATTTATATAAAGAATATTCAATTACACACTAAAACAGCAAATTATTAAATATAATATGTCATTTTGTTGTGGGATTGTAAATCAATCTGCAGAGGTAATAATATCTATTACAGAATCATACATCCAACTCCAAATTCATATTTACATGCAAACAATGAATTTAAAACCAATATAACTTCAGTTCACAACTACACTAAACAAATTCGAACCCGAATTCAACGAGCATCATATCCAGTAACTATTCGAACATCATATCCAGTGCCTATTCGTATGTTCGCTTCCTCTTCAAAAGAATTGGAATCAACAAAACAGAACGAAAAAGTACCGCTAAGGTCTTCAGGTCGTAAGTCTTTCACCGACTTAAGATCGCCAAGAGCAAGTCCCGAATTTTAGATATATGTCTGAGGTTACAAGAATATAAATCATCGTTATCTGGTAATAAATGAAAGCTCACCCGAACAGTAATATACGAGGCTGGAATGAGACCGATGACTGTTGCCAGGAAGAATATATGATACGGGACATCAACAATGGGTGAAGCCAAATTGATGAAAAGATTAGGCAATGTGGGAGTCACTCTAAGAAAGAGCATGTAGTTGAACAACTTACTCTCTTTGCTTTGCTATCTAAAGTTAATAACGATTGAAAAAATTACAAAAACCCGAAATTTGCAAAAATTACAAAAGCCATCTTTTAGTTTGATTCTGTACGACATTTATCTCCCTTCATAAGCAAAAAGAGATATTCGAAATGCCCCTGATAGTTATACAAACATAAATTCGATATGGGGAAATCATGCTATCGTGCGTGCTTGTGCTTCACTATCGTGTTTTTGTGTGTTATCTATTTTATTTAATCGTAAGTATGATAAGAAGTCATAATTCGTGTCGTGGTCCGGGCCGTGATGTGTTGTGTCATGTCTGGTCAAATTTCAACGGTTTTCTCCTAATCGACAAAAACCTACACGATTTTGTAATTCACCCTCGTATCAAATACTAGTTTAACAATTGGGGGCATGCAATGCAAATAACAAGAATGTATCAAGAATAGTAAGGGTGTGTTTGTTTATAAAAATACTCAATTGATATTCAATTCATACTCAAAATATAACTCAACTTTAACTCAACTCCACTGTCTTCAATATTATAAATATGATTAAATAATATCAATCAATTATTCTTACACATTACGTCAACTTTAATTCATTATTCATCCACTTACATAATTTAACTAACCATCACCTCTCTCCAACATTTATACCAAATCAACTTGAAATAATTTATTTTAAATATTATCTTAATATAAACTCAAAATTTCATTAACAACTAATCATACCACATTTTTCAAAATTAACTTTGGTTAACTAAAAAAACTCATTTTGAGCGGATATATTTGTTTCCAAACACGCCCTAAGTAAACACTACATTTTCCGCTGCCTCTAAAAGTTCATGTTCCAATAGTTGCAAGGTTTAATAAGAAAAGGAAAAGTGAAATATATGTAAAACTGTACCTCTGCCTGAAAGTATCTCAGCTTCTCGGGCCAAATCCAGTTAACAACAGGCCTCCCAATTAGCTTAGACAGAAAATAGCAAGACGATGCACCAGCAGTAGCGTTAAAAACGACCAAGAAAAGGCCTCTCACGACTCCAAACAGAGCTCCGGCCAGTAAGGACATGAAAACTGTGCCTGGTATCATGAATGTCTGCATGAATATGTACGTCGAACAATATCCCAAGATGAACTTTTTCTGGTATAATCGAGCATAGCTTGCAAGTTGATCTCTGGAAGATTATATCAATTCCAGCCATGAGAAAAGAAGACATTACAAAGCTCCCCATTTTAGGACAATCTGACCATAAGTACTTATTTTCTTCCTTTTCTGTTTCCTTTTGAGATAAGGCAGTTTGTGCAGCTTAATAAAAATGCTAACTTTTGGAGACAGCTAATACAATATGTAAATGGTAGGATAATATATCATGTCAATTCGTGGATTAGTCTCCAAAATCAGAATGCCCCCGAATTCAAGACTGAAAACAGGAATGAAGTCAGAGAGAGGGCTCGGTTTATGTGCTAATCATGGCCACTAGTTGATCCAATCCGAATTGGTTTTTATCGAGAATGAAAGATTTTCGAACTGCAAGCTCATCTCTTTCTTCTTAAAGTGCTCGACCCGATTAACTCAGATGAAATTTAATAAGCAATTAAGATACATGCAACATCTTATAGACTATTCTTCAAGCTCTAAACCCATCCAAAGTGAGTTTCAGTTCAATTTACACACAACAAATCCAAAGTGAGTTTCAGTTCAATTTGCACTCAACAACATATCAAGTTACAAACAGAAATCCTCCACATGTTTTAGAAATCCTCCACATGTTTTTCCCCCAATCACATATCCACAACATATAATTTCGGACTGAGCTGAAGTAAAACTAGTAAGTATTGAAAATGGAAATGCTATATTCAGTTACAGGAAAAACAAAAGACACCTCACTTGAGCAACCGGAGATCGGCAAGGTTGCGCGGTGTTGGGTCCGGCCCAATTACGGTGGGCTTGGACTAATAAGGGCCAAGGGCCCATTCTCTTTAATAAAAAGAATAAAAAAAAAAAAAAAAA